TAGTGGGACGTGGCCTGGGCAGGGCCCACAACTACCGCAACTCGGGCACGGGAAATAAGGCGCAACCACACGCAAATGATCCTCCGCCTTCCCAGGCAGGGTTTGGAAGGGCCCACCAACAGAATCTCAATCGAGGAGAGGCCAACGGGTCACTCGAGTCGATCGGACGGCTCAGGCGGCTGCCGAGAGATAGGTAAGGAGCAGCGGGATGCCTCATGTGGGTTATGTCGATCCCGTCATGAACGACGGACACGGATCCCATTCGGACATATTCGATAGGAGCTCCCCAGACCCGTCACTCGAGCCATCGAGGTAACCTTACCAAACCCCCTTTTTTGTTTTCTAGTGCATAATGATTCATTCATCCATTCTCATGCATGCATTCATACATTCATCCATACATTTATCCCATACATCCAATCATTGCATATGCACTTGTTGCATCACAACGCTTCGTGTTGCGTCACGAAGCGGTAGTCGCCTCATTCGATATGAGCGACGATCGACCGAGGTTCAAAGGCCAACCCTCAAAGGGCTCGAGGCCGCCTTGTGTCAAACAGAGCCAGGGGAGAAAACGTAGATGAGCACGAGCGGCCCTTGCTCGATCCGCTCAGAAGCGAACAGGGTCATCTCGACCTTCTCGTTCGATCCTGACCTCGAGCCATGCCCACAGAACCTCCATCGAGGGAAGGCCAGCGATCTTCGAAACGGTTTGAACATCTGTCGGGAGGCGGGTTAAGGAGCAGTGAAATGCCACATGAGGGCTATGCCGACCCCGTTACGAACTACGGACCCGGATTTCACTCGGTCGTACCCGTTATTAAGCTCATCGAACGCATCACTCGAGCCATCGAGGCAAGCGGCGTTAGCTCAACCCCTCCGGTTGCGAAAACCGCGGACGGGGTAACACACGAAACTAGACCGACCCCTCAGTCGCGCCTGATACTTAGGTTGGCGCTCTGTCTCGCCTGAACCCTCGGCCGCGCCCGACACTTGGGTTGGCGTTCCGTCTCGCCCGACCCCTCGACCGCGCCCGACACTTAGGTTGGCGCCCGACGCTTGGGTTGGCGCTCCATCCTCGGCCGCGCCCAACGCTTGGGTTGGCGCCCCGTCTCGCCCGACCCCTCGGCCGCGCATGACCCTTCGGGTTTGCGCTCCATCTCGTCCGACGGTGACCCACGATCTTAAACCCACCGGGTGCGCTCGTGAAATGAGTGTAAACAACCCCTTCAGAAGTCCCAAAATGTCTCGGGGGCTCCTGTTGGGTCCATAAACCCGGGGTCCCCAATGGACCCGCTTTCCTGCAAAAACTCGGCCTAGCAGACGGCGTAGCGACAACGCGCGCCTCCAGCGCCGGCCCAGATACATAATGACAGGTCGGGACCGAAAGGCCTGGCCAAGGTGGGGACACAGTCCGACTCCAACCTCCTTTTTCGACCGGGGATACACCCGACCTCTGCTCGTGGCTCTTCCCTGACCGACACGGTCGGGGCCGACTGGGAACGACCGATCGGGGACGCCTGCTCGGTGAGGGCCCGGGGATCAGGCGGAGCAGATAAGGTAAGGCGCTCAAGTCAAACCGCAATACCGAAGACCGTACCCTGCCATACCCTGTGCACCTGCAGGACGGTGCCACCAGGCCATGTCAGATGGGAACTATGCAACCTTTCAGGCGTGTCAGAACACAAACAATATTGTAGGAGATGACGTTTTGCCATACCAGACGAACACGGTAGAGCCTGCCACATGCATCTGGACATAAACAGTATTGTGGGCACCGACGACCGTCTCGTACCCGACAGCGTGGACAACAAGACTAGGTAGCACACGTATACATTCTCTCTTTCTCTGACTTGTAAGGCCATCTCCTTCGACTATAAAAGGGATGAACTTTTTCCTAAAAAGCTCTCTCTGGCTCTCCTCGAAAAAGAGAAGCTAGACGATTCAAGCACTCGAGGACTTAAGAACTCGAATATCTCAATAGCTCTAGAACTCTAAAGGTACACAGAGCATATGCTCTAGTACTTAACGCACGTTAGAGCCCCCGTCACTCTCAACCCTTCGGTTCAGAGTCCGATCAGGGGTTCAAAGTCCGATCAGGTCTTTAACACCCCCTTATTATTCCTACTTGTTTGTAACTCCACAACAAACTTCAAGCACCTAGACTCAGGAATAAAGTCACCGACCGAGTGAAACTGAACGTAGGGCACGTTGCCTGAACCAGTATAAATTCTATATCATTGAGTGCTAGACCATATCCGATCACAACACACGATAAAACCACAAATATTTACTTGTTAGTCACTTTTCACACAGACACATTGTCTTCGATTTACCAACACACATGTCATGAAGCAAAACAGCGGGGACTCGTCCATGATCTACAGATTCTGGTACAAACGCAGAGTTGCAGAGCAGAGTGGCCACGGAAGAGGACACTAAGTGTTACACTAGGGCTTGCTGACACAACGTGAAGGCCTCTGCTTTCTCCCTCAAGTCGCCTAGCCCCTCTCCACTTCCCTCATTTTTCTGCAACAGATGAGGAAAACATAAGGCATGTCTAAGCATATATGCAAAATAGTAAACTTGTTGATCAAAGAGGCAAAATGCTGCCAATAGCTTAACAAACAAAAGCAGGGAAAGAAAGAACGTGAGCTGAAAATACTTCACATGGAAATGTCAAGGAGCAGTTTTGAACCGATGAAAATTTAGCAAAAATCTGTAAGTTGTTTCGGACATTGGTTGCGTGTAGAACGAGACACCCTGCTTCATTACTTATTTTAGCCTTTTGTGACAGTTGTTATTCGAATACAGAATATTCACATGACCAGTAGTTTACTGTGAATTGTGTTGTTTCCCGACAAGTTTATATGACTGTGAACAGTAGCGAAGCTAGAGCAAAATAGAGGGATGCGAATAGAATTCAAATTTTCGGCGAATTTCTGGATAGAATATATATGCATAGCATTCTTGGAGCAAGTTGTTTTCTAGATACAGGTTCTTTATTCCTATCTAGGCTTCTGGAACATAGCCAAAGCATGCTCTAGCCAATGCTTGGATAGGGTTTTCAAGTTTGAACTTAGAGTGGGAGGAGAGAGAGAGAACTTTGAGGTCTGATTTATACATGTGAAAATAGCACTCAGGATAATCAAGTCATCACTTTCAGTTTCGCATGCGGACTAGAGAATAGGATGCTGCATGCAGATATTTTCATGCTCATGCATCTTGGTTGCTACATCAATTAATCCATCATTTGTTCTGGGTGCGCAGATGTCAAATAATACAACCTACACTAAAATGCAGTTACGAGGCAAGTTTATGTGTATACTTTTAACCTACACTGAAATGAAGTTGTGAGGAAAGTTTGTGTATACAAGTGCAAAATGTTAAATACAAAAGGACACAAGATGATCTGAACTGTAAGTTATCTAATGCCAAACAAATGATAATGATATGCATAGTGCAGCTAAAATTTTGAAAGCTAAAATAAGCCTCTTAAGGAACTATCTGGGAAGCGTGGATTTTCAAGGGTTGAACTTATTCATCTGCCAAGTTAAAAGAGAGCACATGCATAGACACACAATGCTTCCAATCCACTACGTTCAGCATGAATCCACTAATCCACCAAGTGTGCTTGTGACTTTTGGGCTGGCAGTGCAGAGGCATATCTCAGGAGAGGACTAGCAACTTAGCAAGCCCTAGATTAGATCTACCATGACTCAACTTATCAGGCAAATAAGCTACTTAAATATATAAGCCTAAAACTTCTTCCAGATAGTACACAAGATCTTGCAAACTTATAAGAATATATAGTCATCTAGCTGGGCTTTCTGTCCCATCGAGCTAAATTTTATAGACCAAAGCAAATACTTCATTCTATCCTTCATATGCCCTAGGAAAAAAAAAAATCAGTTTTTATCATAATTTTCCAAGGGATAATGGTGAACAACCAAAACAGTGACTACTAATGTCAAGCAGCCAGCACTTTTGATAGCTATTCAACTATCATGTTGAGCAGGAAAAAATCACTTCATGGAGAGTCTATGTTGGTGCTTCTTCTCACACTGGCAATTGCCCAACTGTCAACTCCATTTTTTTGCATCATTGCATATAAACACAACTATTGTACCTTTGGATATAAACAGAAAATCCATGTTTAATCATGCAACAGTTGCCACTTTTTTGCCCTAATAGATTAAACAAAATGAGGAACCAATCCTACATGGAAGTAAATGTCTCAACAAAAAGAACATTGTTGACATGGGAATATCAAGCAATTTGCATTATAATTTCACACACTATGTTCACGGGAGTATGAGGTGATCATTTTCATAAGAGGAAACTATACTAGGATATATATTTGTCAATGCCTATGTGGCAGCTGGGGTTAATTCATTTTGCTTGAATTTTTTGTCAAGTCAAAATGAGAAACTTAGACCTCTATTGAAACTATGCCAGAAGGCCAGATATTCAAGCTGGGCATTCACATTGTCATATGAACGCAAAAACTGTCTAGTATTTTAAACTTTCTTGCTTTCTTTAGATAAAGGGGAAATTTCTTTCTGGACTAGTTAAAACCTTACAGTGCAATGTTCTCTCATTTATCCTCACCATCAACACATTCAAGCATTTCATTCCCTACTTCATGGATGTTGACAAATTGACTAACAAATGAAATACATGGACAACTAGTCAACAAACAAATGAAATAGGATAGACCCAATGAATGAAGATGGCGTTTGGTTCGATGGACTGTAATGTAATCTGTTTACTTGGGGGACTGGATACGATGCAGATGTTTGATTCGATTATGTCCGTTATGCAATACCACGTAATCAGATACCGCCCTATTCATCTTTGATACCGCTCACCTCCGACCCTTATCTTATAGCGCTGCCGCCATCTCTCCGTATTACCGTTACGACGCCGAACCAATCAAAGTCCGCGATCAACAGTCCCACCGACTAAACCCACGTGAGCTGATTTCATTTCCGGATACGTTACCTGAGGATGAACCAAACACCATGGAAATAGAAGATGAAGCAATAAGACAAACCTTTCTGCGCCTCCGGCGCCTCATGATACACAGGCTCATTTTCAGGCACCGTTCGCAGCTCATCCCCGAAAGCATCATCTGGGTAGCGCACAACCACAATGGGGCAGAAGCAGTGGTGCACGCAGTAGTCACTGACGCTCCCGAGCCTCCCTTTCCCGGCCCTGCGGGAGGCACCGAATCCTCGGCTGCCCATGATCATGGCGGACAGGCCGAGGCGCTCGGCCTCGAGGCAGAGGCGCTCCTTCATGTCGTGGTCTTTGACGATGTGGATCTTGAAGGGGATCTGCGCGCCGTTGAGCGGCTGCGCAAGGTCCTGCGCCTTGGTGGACGTGAAGGCGTCGAACTCCTCCTCCCGCTTCTTCTTGGCCTCCTCGGGCTCCTCCTCGGCGGCCGCAGCGCGCGCCGCGCCCTCGGCGATGTCGGCGTCGGGGTCGTCGTCGACGGAGACCGGGATGGAGCCCCAGTCGGCGCCGTAGAGCACGGAGGTGGGGCGGACGTGGAGCAGCACGACGGCGTCCCCGGGGCGGAGGTAGTTCTGGACGGCCCACTTGACGGCGAAGGCGGACTCGTCGGAGAGGTCGACGGCGATGCCGATGCGGCGGTGCGGGGAGGACGCCGCGGCGGAGGCGGCAGCCAGCGAGGAGAAGAAGTACCGCGGCGAGTTGGGCTGGATCGCCGCCACCGCCTGCGCCGCGGACAAGCGCACCGGCGGCGGGCCAGACGGCGACCTGTCGCCACCAGCGCCGGCCGTCGGGGAGGCCGGGTGCGTCGCCATCGCCGATCTGCCAAGTGCTTCCTCCTCCGGGCGGCTCGAGAATTTCCTTCCGCCCGCGGCGCCTCGAATCGAATTGAATCGGACCTGCTCTCTCGATCTGATCACGGGAAGGGCGACGGGGACGGGGGAGAGGGGAGACGAGACGGCGAGGGTTTTGGCTGCAAATGACGCGGATTTGTGGAGACAGCGACCAGTGCAGTGGACATTGATGAGCGTGATTTGCACTTGTCAGCGATTAAAATGATGGTGTGGGCCCCGGAATGGACGCCTCACGGTGGCTTCGGGCGCCCTGCAATGATTCGAATAACAAAAACTATTTTCCACGCGTAATAGACATGCTTTATAGTTAGATAATAATGTTAAGAACTAATCAGATATTGATGTATATATATATAGTCATTGTCACCAGATGTATATATATATAGTCATTGTCACGGCCATGATAGAGTTTGCGCCTAAGATTAGCATTTCACACCGATAAGTACATAGCACAAATCTCTACTAATTACTATGAAGAAGGAAATAGCTGCATCATCCACCCGCTTGCGCTGCCTTTTGCTATCAAAATTGCTCCGCTAACGACAGGTGAGAGCATGGGTGATAGCAGCAGGATGATATCAGTCATCAGCGGCCACAAGAACATACTACATTGATGGGACAACGAACAAGCACGACCACATGCGTTGCGACGAATCAACCGAACAGATTACGTCAGAGTCCATGAACATCCACCTCGAACCATAACCTGAAGCTATGCTATGCCATCCAGACCATGAGATTTGGCTGCTAGCTGAGGCATTGCTAGTCCAACCTTGCAAAGCTCAGGTTCCACAAACAAACTAATCTTGCATACCTCTATGAAGTACTCATTCTGGTTGTTGATCAGATGGTTTAGGATTTCTGTTATGGTTAAGGGGACTACACATAGTATCACATCGTGTATAGAACACAAGTTGTCTTCTGAGTTTGCAACATACTCCTTGCCCTGATATAGAATTAGGTAATAGATTAGCATAGATATTTATAATATCTAGAAAGGCTATAGAAAGTATCATAAGCAAAACATGGAGTTAAAAAAACACATGCAGAATTGCAGAAAGCAAAGCATAGGCAAATTGCGGGGTGCCATGTTGGACTGCTAGAATTAGAACAACTAAGAGTCTGTGGCCCTGTTTGGATACTCTAGCACAGCTAGAGGTTAGAGTTAGTTTCTAGTTCAGGACTAGCCCTGAACTAACTCTAGCCTAAGAGATGTTTGGATACAAGGGTTAAAATGATAATAAATGTGCTTTCCAAATCATTGGTGCGGGTGAAAGTAGAGAGAAAACAGTGGACCCCACCTCAAATAGCCCCAACTAGCCCAAATAATCACCTCTTTGGGGGGATAGTTTTTTAGGGTGGGCTAGTTGCAAATAACCCACTCTAGCTCTCCTGTTTGGCTACTTTAGGGCTAGTTGAGCTCCAACTAGCCCAAACTAGCTCTAACCCATGGATCCAAACAGGGCCTGTATATAGTTTTCTAAGGGTTACTCTAAATTAACAGATAGATTCTCATTCTCTAAATGTACTTCCCAAGTGTACTACTTCTGTTCTGCGGCTGTAACATTTAGCTTGTACTGAAGAAACTCGAGTGCAAATAGTTTTCATTTTATGATATGCAAATAGTCCAGGCAACCTTTTTAATGTGTAATAATTTTCTACTAAAATCAAAGTGTTGCATATTGGTTTAGAAGAATCAACGTAGTAGAAAACTGGTTATCAACTATTGGTTTTGTAGACCATGTAACATATTTTCTACATGGATGGAATTTTTATCTCAATAGTCTACTATGCAACATGCAGATAGTTTATACCATATTCAATCATAATTCACACGTATCAATCCCCTGGCCCATTGTCAGCCATACATTGACAACATCATATTCATCTAAAACCATGCCCATCTTCTTTCCTCTTTCAAGCTTCCTGCCTGTTTTTAACAAGGCACTTATGGCCATCAGGAGTTACTAAACTTCTGAATCTCTCAGTTTGCTAGCAATCCATCTTAGAGGTTTTGCAAAGACAAGATATTAGTTTCCCTTTTGCCATCAACACCCTTCACTCACCTCCCATATTGGACAATGTATGACAACGATAAATGCTGATAATAGTTAAAGATACATGAAACCATTTTTTTAGATGAAAGATTACCTCATGAAATACAATGTATCAGTCAAAAGTGGTCATAGCTCCTAAAATTGTGTCAAAACTGAAACTCAAATCCATCTAACTCATATAGCTCTGCAGCCAATTGTTCGTGCCTTGTCAATTTACATCTTAGTATAACAATGCTTTCACAATAGATAACTACAGGCTCAAGACGACAATAACTGAGACCTGCAAGAAGGCATTAAGTAAATGGTTTAAGGGTAAGGCTTAGATTAGTTCATACTTTCAGAGTATTGCATTTCAGTAAGATACTACTCATTGTCAACCATTAATGCACCTTGGAAACCATGGTAAAATTTACCACTATGTGGATGACTATTAAGTTTAGGAGGAGCATCATCAGTACACTTAGCTAATACGGCTAACACTAACCCTATCAAAATAAATGGAAACTCTGAAAGTTAATTAACACGAGATGCATCTCTACCATACTATATTGTAATAAAAATACTATTGTAGAAACAAACGATCCAATTTTTTATCATCACACGAACAAAGTTACAGCTAGAACAAACTTGTATTTACGCGAACAATCACATACCAGCCCTAATGAATCAAATACTGTTAGATTTAAATTGACCCGGATCTTTTCTCTTGTTCACTACATACCTTAACTGACATTGGAGGAGCCAGGAAATCTAGGGGATGGTGGAGAAGAATAATGATCAGAGGGAGCACTGCACCTGCTATGTGGAGTGGAAAATAGGGGAGATGGCATCGCCTGTGAGGATGGTAGGACGAACACTCGAACAGGAGAAAGTAACAACCGATCTGTAGTCGTAGCCAGCTTCACTTTGCCGAGGTGGTCAGCGCCTGATGATTGAGGAGCTGTGCAATCTTCTAGTACCACAACATAGGCCTCCACCTGGGGTTCCCCAAGCAGCACCAAATCAACACCCTCAACATAGCAAACAAGTGTATTGCTACCCGATATGGAGGCCTTGTGCACCACCGCCGACGAGTCCCCAAGACGCCACCCAGAAGCTCCGTCCGAGCGTATGCTCATGCCGCTAAGGAGCTCGTGGTCAGATCTGAGAGGGAGAGAGATCAAGCTCAGCTCTAGCGAATGGATCTCAGAGAGGAGGTAGAGATAAGGCACGAGAAGGGAAAGGAGAAGTTGCTTGCTCGTACCTTCAGCTCTCGTCATCGCCTCGGGGAGTCAGGGTTGTTGCTCTGACCACGAGAGCATCGTCGCGCCCCACCGCGGCGTGGCCACGGCCGCACACCGCCCTCCCCAGTAGATCGAGGCACGCTTCTCCGGCACGGCGAGGCCGAGGGGAGATAAGAGATGACGGCGGCTAGGGTTTCGGGCATGACCCAAGCCATGCGCGGGCGTGACCGTGACCCAAGCCGTCGTGCGGGTGCCGGGTGCGGCCGAGCGGCGAGCGAGGCTCTGGACGGCGGGTTAGTTTCTAAAAAGAAAGAGGGTGTTTTTGTGAAACGTGTAGTGGCCACGCGTCAGTTTGCGAAGGAGCCAGCAATGCCTCAAATGCTCTCGTTGCAGCAGAGTGAATGGTTTTTAACAGCTTCCGATATACAGTACAAGTACTACGGTCTAACCGGCTTGGTGGCTGACAAGACGACTCATGCTGTTTTATTTAAGAGAAAAACACTATACTATGACTGATAAGTTAGACTAATAAGTTCAAGCGAACAAGATATATACAATTATACGAGCCTCTTTAGAACACAGAAATTTCACTAGAATTATATATGTATTTTATAGTTTATTTTCACACACAAAATATAGAAGACAGGGAAAAAACTTCCATTCCAAAAGAGATCTAAAAGTTTCAGTCCATTCGGCTTATATAAGCTGCTCTAGACTAGCTTATGTTGATGAAATCTGGTTGGCAGTCTACCGAGAGGTATACCCATGGTAGTAGATAATTGGTGGAGGTACGCGTAATAGGAACCGGATGGTGACACAAGGCGTAGGGACAACGATTTAGACAGGTTTGGACCGTCTGATCGACGTAATACCCTACGTCATGTGTCTTTGTTGGATTGTATCGAATATGAGATGAATTTGAGGGGGTCTCTACTCGCCTTATATAGTCTGGGGGTAGAGTTACCAGTCAGTCTAGGCCTAGATCTATTCGGTTATATGATAAGTATTTACAAGGAATACGATATCTATCATATCTGAAAAGATCTTCCTTCATCGTCAAGATGTCTTCTGATTGTCTTGCGGTGTACGCCGACCAGAGCCGAGCACGGTAGGCCTTGATCTTATGGGCTGGACCTCCTCTTGCCATGGGTATCTGGGGTTATACCCCCCACAGCTAGTCCACAAGCGCCTTGTATCCGCTGAGCAACTCCGTCTTGAGCAAGTCTAAGCAATTTAACTTGGAGTCAGCCAGCAAATCTAGCAATCTGACCAGTTTAACTGGTAATCCAATTAACAAAACGAAGTACTGACCAGTTTAACTGGTAGTCCGACCAGTGAAAATTAAAGCCAGCCAATTTATCAGGTGATCTGATCTTGGATTAACCAAGTAAAGCTTGCCAGAAGGATATAAGGAGCTCAAGTTTAAAATTTAAAAATTCTCCACCTTAGGTTAAGTGTATACACTTTGGCTTCGTTGGCGAAGTTAAATGATCATCATTCTTGACTTTGTCAAAGAGGATGTTAGTATCGATACATGCGTCGCTAGGTGCAATATATACATTGTAGTCCCCGAGCCTGACAGTAGGTTAAGAAGACACATGGTATCATGATCAAAGAATATCAATGATCACTTAGTTAGAATAACCAACTTTCAGCTTAACCGAGCACACAACTAGTCCCC